TATTACTTGTGAGGCAGAGTAGCAATATGATATTCACTTTGATAGTGGTAGACCATACGTCACTGGCTCCAAACTGTTGATGCAGTTCCCAGGACACCTAGCAGTGTTACTAGTTGTAGCTTCTGGCTGGACCCGGAAACATTTCTTTACACTATATCCATGTTTTTTTTTTTCTTTCAAGGAATGAAATACATAAATGCTTAATGGATATTTTATAGATTTACCCAAGGTAACTAATATTTTATTATAAATGTTGGTGGTTTGAACCCACCCAGTGGCTCCCCAGGAGAAAGACTTGATGATTTACCTTTGTAGGGATTATCGCAGTTCTGTTCTGTCACATTGGGTTGCAGTGAGTTGACAGTTTTCTCAGCTGCACCGAACAACAGCAACAATAATTACTTGAATGTAATAATAAAAAATTCTATGTCTAGGAAAAGGAACCATATGGAGACTCAGCATCTGTCAGATGCTCTCGTAAGAGAGTCAGCTTTGCAAAGTGAGATAGCAGGAACAGAAGAGGAACAAACTCCAACTGCAAAATCCTTACAAGGCCAAGATATTTTTGATGGGAATTCAGTCCAGGAGCAAGTGCAAGGTACTGAACTATTACAAGTTATTTTTTTCTTCCTTTCTTTTTTTTTTTTTAAATTTTAATCTTTTTCTATCCCTATCATTTTCCTAGTTATTCTGCCACCATTAACATAAATTCTGTGTCCCCCCAAAGCAAAATTTTCCCCTTTCCTCCTCCATTCCATCTCTGGAAGCCATTAATAAGCTTTGGTTTCTATATATTTGCTTATTTTATATAAATGAGGTCATACAGTATGTGTCCTTGTGTGACTGACTTGTTTCACTCCCCATGTTTTCAGGGTTCTTCCATGTTGTGGTGTATATCAGGACATCATTTTTTTTTTTATGGCTGTGTAATATTCCATTGTATGTATATTGCACATTTGTTTATCCTTTCATCTCTTGATGGACATTTCTGTCGTTTCCATCATTTCACTATTGTTAAAAGTGCTGCACTGAACATTATTGTACAATTTTCTGTTTGCGTTCCCATTTTCACTTCTTTTAGCTGTATGCCTTGGATTGGGATTGCTGAGTCATATGATAGTTCCATGTTCAGCCTTTTGAGGAACTGCCAAACTGACACAATGGCTGTACCATTTTACATTTCAACCAGCGGTGGATGAGGGTTCTACTTTCTCCAACCTCTCCAACACCTGTTGTTTTCCCTTTTTTTGATCGTTGCCATTCTAATGGGGGTGAGATGGTCCTTGGTTTCTTAGTACTACTGTAACAGAAATACCACAAGAGTTGGCTTTAACAAACAAATTTATTTCTTCACGGTCTGTTGTTGCTGCTGTTATTAGCTGCTTTCAAGTTGATTCTGACCCATGGCAACTTCGCGAGTCTCATAGTTTAGGATGCTAGAGGTCCAAATTCAGGGCACCCGTTGTACAAGCCCTGGTAGCACAGTGGTTAAGAGCTCGGCAGCTGACCAAAAGGTTGGCAGTTTGAATCTACCAGCTGCTACTTGGAAACCCTGTGGGGTGGTGCCACTCTGTCCTGTAGGGTCGCTATAGATGGAATCGACTCAGCAGCAATGGGTTTATTGTTTTGTTCTAGGGGAAGGCTGTATCTGTGTCCGCTGTAGGGGAAAATCCTTGTCTCAGCTTCTCTAGAGTTGTTCTTGGCATTCCTGGGTTCCTTGGCAATCTCCACCTGGCATCTGTCTTTTCCCTTTTATGTTTGCTTGTCTTTCTCATCTGCTCTTTATATCTCAGAAGTGATTAATTAGGTTTAAGGCACACCCTACACAGATATGTCCTCGTTAATATAACAAGGAAAACCCAATACCCATATGGAATTATATATGCAGGTATAGGGATTAGGATTCCAGTACATATTTTGGGGGAACACATTTCAAAACATATCAGGTGATACCTTATTGTGATTTTCATTTGTATCTCCTTAATGGCTAA